GGGGGTCTGTCTGGGGGGTGGGGGTGTGGATAAGGGGTTGGGGGCAGTCAGGGGGACAGGTAGGGGGGTAGAGTCCTAGGGGGCCAGTTAGGATGTGGGGGAAGGTCTCAGGAGGGGGGCAGTCAGGGGACAAGGAGCAGGGAGGCTTAGGTAGGGGGGTGGAGTCCTGGGGGGGCAGTTAGGGGCAGAGGTCCCAGGAGGGGGCAGTCAGGGGACAAGGCGTGGGGGGGAGGGTTGGGGGTTCTGAGGGGGCAGGAAGTGGGAGGGAAGTGGAAGGGGTAGGGGTGGGGCTAGGGCAGGGCAGGGGCGGGGCTAGGGTGGGGCTCCTCCCGTCCTCTTTTTTGATTGTTGAAATATGGTAACCCTACAAATGTGCATGTCTCAGATCATTCTAACTTGCAAAAAACCTACAGGAGTGGGTTCTGACTGGGAAAAAAAATCTTTGCAACAGTCCCTTTGTGGTGCTCCTCTCTTATCTTTTCATTTGAGTTGAGGTTTGCCTGACCTTTGTGTTCAGAGTGCTGTATGTGGTTTTTACTCATATTCTTAGAACATGAGGAGGAGGAAGGAAAAGCATGTACGATTCTAATATAGCTGCAAGGGAGCTAATGCAGGCAACTCAGTTTTTCAACAAATGCTTTGTATAGTTTTGAATTTTTAAACATGTCCTTTTTAGGGAATTTCTCCACTCTCCCGCCTTCCCTCTTTTGAAAGCTTTCCTTATGTGGAGTCAGGTATCCCACATTCCCACCAGCTGAGTACTTTGATGCATGACAAATAATTCAGAAGGGAAATTATTGATTATAAACAAGGCAGACTGAGCTATACTCTTCTACTTTAAAAAATTAAATCTGATGCTTATGGGCTGTAAATCTAAGAAAAAGACATCTCTCTCTCTCTTTGTTGGGATCTCTCCCATCATTCTAGAAGTGACAGCACTGGGAAGGAAGGAATAAAGGGGAAATCAGTAAGTACCCACAGCATTTAAGGATTAAAAAAATTCTTGTTACTGCATTATATTATTGTAATAAAAATGTCCATCCTGTGGTGCTGCGGTTCCCCGACAGGGTGTTTTATAGGCCTAAAACTTATCCTGCATGATTCCCTGTAATGACTAACAAACTGAGTATTTTAAGAAAACAAAGAAAGGCTAGCAGGCTAGTCTCATCAGCACATATGCAAAAGCTATTAATGGTGAGAAACAATCACTAGATATAATGCAATAACATCAGGTCATGAGCAGGGCTCAATGATCCTTTCCTTCTGCTCTCTTTCTCTCTCTACGAATTATTGTTTTGTATTAAACAAGTTACTGTAGTATTTTTTAATGAGAGGATTTGTAAATTCTCCCCAATTAATTTTTTTGTAGCGTGGACTACATCCACCCTGATTGAATTGGCCCTGTCAACACTGGTTCTCCACTTGCGAAGTAACTCCCTG